TATGAACATGTGGTCATGAAACTAAACACTTAGTAAAATTTTGCCTTAATTTGGTCAGGATTTTGACCTAATTTCATGGAACTTTTTCATATAGTTCCAAGGGGAATATTCAAAATAAATTCAAATATGGGTTGTAGAGCATATTTCAAGCTTTCTAAAATATCCAAGAACTCCTTGAGATCATTCTTTAGGAGGGAGAATCAAAGAGAGGAAGTTAGGGTTTTGTCACTTGAATTACAAGTCATTTTTGATGAACACATGAACCAAATCCATGCTAGGCTGCATAATCTTTGTTTTGCAAGCCTCAAACTTGTTTGTCACTCCATAATTAAATGTTTACACATCTGTTAGGGCTTTGATCCAAGCAATTAAGCTATTGTCCAAGTTGCATTTCCATTTATGGCACAAAGTTAACAATGTCATTCTTGTAAAGCAAGCTTTTTGCATAAAGTTCACATTGAGCCTCTAACTTGTTCCCTCTGATCACACTCCATCCACAAAGTTAGAAGCAAGCTTGTTTAAAGCATAACCACTCTATCTTTGCAAGTACACAAGGCATGGAAACTTATTTTGTCAAAATATCACATGTTGAACTTAAACATGCAAATTTGAATTCTGATCAACTAGAGCACTCCAAACTTGTTGCTTATAAATAGTCACTATTTGTGAGCTAGGACACGAGCTTGAGCACCCTAAAATACACAAAAACTCTCTCAAATTAGAAATTGCCCAAAAATTCCATTGTTGCACAGTTTCTGACCTTGAACATCAAACTCCCATTTCCCTCGTGCGTTTCTTGACCTTTTAGTTTCTAAAGCTTCCTTACATCAAATACAACTCATCCCTATCCTTATTCCAGAACTGTGACACCATTTACCATAACTTCCATAACCAAAAAACATAGTCTGCAACTTGACTTCTCCAAGTCATTTCAGCCACTCTCAACTTGAACAAACCATTGCATTAGCTTCCTAGGACCTCAAGGAAGCTAACCTGATCATCACCATCACTTGAAACAAGCTCAAACTCCAAACACGATTTCCAGTTTTGAGATAAGTTTTCTCAACTTGAAACTCTTCATACAGGCATAATTAATAGTTTATTTGTGAATAAAACATGTAGATATCATTGCCTTGAAGCTAACCATGTCCTTAGTTTCCATTAATTTTGCTTGAGCTTAGAGAATTTTGAAACTGAAATTTCTGAAATTTTTAGGGTTCAGATTAGGGCCATTAAAATTCTTGCTTATCTTTGATCTATAATTTTAATACTTTACATTTCTGGAATCGTGGAAAAATTTTCTACAAGTTTCATGTTTACAGTTTTTATTTTTGATGAGAAATGAGCAAGTTACAGTTGGTTTGGCTGGAGGTTGAAGATGAAGTCTTCAGAACACGTTTTTCCTTACATATTTATTGTTTCATTTGTATTAACGGATGTATAGCCACCCCAGTGGTAGAAGCACACACATGTAACCTTTGGGACCTGGGTTCGAGCCCCAGTGGTACCCTTTTGTATTTTTTTCACATTTCTGACCCCTTTTTTTGTTTGGCAGGCGCTGGGCCCTTTGGGCCTGGCTCATTTTTTTTTTTTTTGCTAGTTAACCTCCATGTTTCCCATTGACACCCCTGGTCCAATTTTATTTTCTTTTCTTATTTTTATTTTTATTTATTCTCTTAAGTTATTTTTCTAATATTAAAAAAATCATAAAAATACAAAAAAATGATATATTTATATTTTGACATATTTTATTTTATTTTTTCCATAAATAAAAATATTTGTATACTTCATTCATTTTATTAAGTAGATTTTGTAAACTTAATTAATATTATATTGCTTATTTATTTTTCTTCACACCATTTAAAATATATTATTTTAATATAAAAAAGGACTAAAAATATTTTATAATACTACAAATATTTTCAAGATAAAAAAATACCAAAGAATATATATTTTTCTTAAACTTATTTTCTTTTGATTAATTAATAGAATTAGGGTTTTCTTTTAAAGTCTTTTCCTTAATAAATTCAAACTTAATTAACTATTTTCTTTATTTAAATTAGGTTAAGACAAAATCTTTTTTTCATGAAAACCAAACAAAATTCATTTTATTCATATTTTGCATCTTTGTACATTTATTCATTTTTATACTTTGTATTTAAATTCCTTGTATATTCATGCCAATTCAATATGGTTTTAATAGACTAATTAGGTTTAAATTCTAGCAATCCCCATTTACAAATTGTATACCCCCTTCCCACAAATGTTGTAATAGCGTAGTAACTTTAAATTTCGCAATTTATCGCTTTTATATAACATGCTAGTAATTAGGGTTTGTATGGAAAGACTTAAAACCAATAAATAGCACACCCTAATTCAAGACTAAATCAAGCATGAAAACAATACATTTGCACACAAACACCCCTAGGACTATTCCACTTGGTTGCCTTATACAAAATGGTCATATTAGGCATGTAAGGTATCTTAGCCAAAACAAGCAAATACAAGATCATAGACCCTCGATGACGCTATCTAAGTTGTCTTACAAATAATCTTAGTCCCTCAAAAAGAATGCTAAGATACCTTGCAACATTGCTAATCATGGTTATACGATGATCCACGCCCGTCCCGTTTACATCCAAAGATAGGGTTTCTTACCAAATCAATGGTACAACAACAATGTCAAAGGAAAAGAAAATGAACAAGAAAGACATTTGAGTAGGTAGATTGCTCCTAATTACTTGCTCCATTTCAAAACAAGCATCCTTGCTATTTTCAAAACAAACACATACACTTTCAAACATCTTACAAGATTGAAAATATTTTCAAAAGATCAAACATCTTTGTAACATTCTTACAAACAAGAATCATTACAAAAATTGCCTAAACAGTGGCCTCTTTACAAAATACTTTCAAAAACCACATCAAGCACAATTTCAAACAAAAAAGCAAGTGATCTAGCAAGTAACTAAGAGCCTATAGAAAACCATGGATGAATAGGGTACTAATACCTTCCCTTTTCATAATCTACCCCCCGAACTCAAGAAACAATCTCAAAGGTCTTTCTTGTGCTTTTTCACCTTTCCTTTTGGATAAAAGTAAAGTCGGTGGCGACTCTTGCTAACCACAACATTTGTGATCAAACGCAAAACACCCAAGTCAGTTCTCTCACCGTATCACACTATCAATATCCAATTCCTGTGAAAAACAAATCCTATACTCAAAGCTTTTTATGAAACTCAACACCCACTTAACTTAAAATTCGAATACAAAATTCAACCATATAACCAAATCAATTATGAAAAACATAAAATCATATTCAAACCAAACACAAATTAATATCCCGTGACATAAATGATAATCAAATAAATAGAGAGATTAGCAATTCAACGCAGATCCGAGCTAAAACCCTAGACTCGAGCAAATTTAAAAGCGATATACAAAGGATGAAACGACATAGCGTAGAAATTGAAATACGAAGGAAAATGGAAAGGAGAAATCAAAAACATACGGTTTGTAAATCTTGAGGAGAGACGATGGAAAGGAAGAAGGAAATTTTTGGCGACGAAAATCGCGGCGACACGATTGGGGTTGAGTGACTGCGATTTTGGAGTAACCACGGCGGTGAAACATATGACAGAGCAATTCCGCACGTGCTTGAAATGAAAACGATTGAGATCTTCTCTGTATACCTTTAATCAGATCTACTAATTTTTGTTGTTACCAATTCCCCTTTTTTATTAGGGTTTCGCCATAAATTGATCAAGGAAACCCTAAAATTTTGTATCTGATGGAACGTAATTTTGTTTTATTTTTGTATATGCAACTTCGGTTTATGAAGTGTTGTATTTGTTTGTTCTTCATTTAGGGGTGTTATTGTTAGGTAAGAGGAGTGGAAGAAGCTATGAAGAGACAATGCAAAGTGACTAAAAAAGAGTATTGGAATGCAGAGAGTTGTCGTTTTGATAGCTATTATTAAAAGCTTATAATACATAGAGTTGAAATAGTATTGGAAAAAACAGAAAGAGTGTGTCGGTTCTACAAATATCTTTTTTTTTTATACTCAATGGTATAATTAAAGGGTATGTAATAATTAAAAAGATTCTAATGTGATGTATCGTAAATATAAATAATATATTATTTGAGTAATTTTTAATTAAATAAATAATTAGTAGTTGTAATTACTTATATGTCTTTGTAAGTCTATGATTAATCTGAATTTAGTTGGCTAATGACATAATTATATTAAAAGTAGGTTAGGGGAATTAAAAAAAAAAATTCAACAAAATTACATTATTGTCCATAATTTATATATAGTAGAATTCAAACTTGAGACCTTGAGAGGAAGAGCACACTCTCAAGACACAAGCGTTTCACCACTAGACCACACACATTAAAATATAAGTATTATATGACAGAATACATAATCATTATTGGTTTGCAGTAGTGTAAGATTAATTTTAAGTGCATCAACATTTTTCTCTTAAAAAAAATTGAGTGTTAGTTGTCCAATAACATGTGGGATTATTTAGAAAACTAGTCTTTATTTATCCTTTTTTGGGAAGAAAACTAATTAAAAAATGGCACCTATATTCGCCTAGTAATTTTATGAGAAATTAACTGTTCATAAGAACTAAAAACCATGTAGTTAGACCTCTTTAAAATATTGATCTACCTATCATTGCCGGCAAAAGCAGAAGCACCAATCTAACATCGCAAAACTGTATATATATATTTATTTTTTTTCTAATATTATGATACATATTCATCAAAACAGTTAGATACAGCGTTCAGTTTTGAAGTGGACTTTATTTATATTGGCACGTCAAAACGTGGGAACCTCTTTCAATTTCCTAAGGTCAACCACAACGTGATGGCTACCACACACTTACATACTCTTTATTTCTTTCTTAAAACCTTATATATACATATATAGTGCAATGTGTGATGCATAAGGCAAATCATAGTGTTTCATTCAAGCTGCAAATTTATTAACCATTATGAAGAACTTAAACATATCTTTGTGCATGGTTATGACAGTAGTACTTGTTGGCTTAGGTGGAAGTGTACCTTCTGGCTTCAACTATGGTGATGCTCTTGACAAGAGTTTGTTGTTCTTTGAAGCACAAAGATCCGGTAAATTACCAATGCAAGAGCAACGAATCAAATGGCGCGCTGATTCTGGTCTCAAGGATGGAATTCAGCAAGGAGTAAGTACTCTTAAACTGTTTTCATAATTTATCATTGAGAACTTATAGAAATAAACTGAAAATGGTTTGTATTAAACTCTTGTGTTTGTTACTACAGGTAGAGTTGGTGGGAGGGTACTATGATGCAGGTGATCATGTGAAGTTTGGCCTGCCAATGGCTTATAGTGTGACAATGCTGGCATGGGGAGCTATTGAGTTTAGCAAGGAAATGACAGACTTAAACCAAATCGGACATACTCTACGGGCTGTTAAATGGGGAACTGATTATTTCATCAAAGCGCATACTCAACCTAATGTTCTTTGGGGACAGGTAAAACCAGTGCAACAATCATTATTAATCTGGTTGAAAGTTAAGTGTGCTTATGGCGTAATAAACTATTGCTTTTCTCTGCGATGCTTAAGGTGGGTGATGGAGTTTCGGATCACTACTGCTGGGAACGTGCTGAAGACATGACGACTTCAAGAACTGCGTATAAAATTGATGAACAGCATCCTGGTTCTGATCTTGCTGGTGAAACTGCAGCTGCATTGGCGGCTGCGGCCATAGCTTTCAGGACATACAACTCTTCTTACTCTAATCTCTTGTTAGTCCATGCAAAACAGGTCAGTGAGATTTTCTCAAAACTTACACTCGTTTTGGCGTAGTTATTAATATTCTTCTATCTGTTGCAGCTCTTCACGTTCGCAGATAGATACAGAGGCCTATATGATGAGTCCATATCCTGTGCTCACCAATTCTATGCTTCTTCTGGCTATTCAGTGAGTAAACATTTCTCTATTAATTCTTCTCTCATTTTAGTACCCATCGAATCGCGTCTAAAACCACTTCTTTGCAAAAAAGGATGAATTGTTATGGGCTGCTGCATGGCTGCACCAAGCGACCGGCGATGACTACTACCTAAAGTATGTCGTGGACAATGCGGTGTATATGGGTGGAACTGGATTGGCGGTGAAAGAGTTCTCTTGGGACAACAAATATGCTGGTGTCCAGATCCTCCTATCAAAGGTAATAATCAAATAGTGACTCGGTTCAAGGAATCATGCAATAAAAATTAAATGGTGAAATCCAATTTGCAGGTATTACTAGAAGGAAAAGCTGGTTCATATGCATCTACGCTAAAGCAATATCAGGCCAAAGCAGATTATTTTTCCTGCGCCTGTTTGCAAAAGAATGACGGTTACAATGTCCTGAAAACTCCAGGTTAGTTGCTGTATAACATTAATTTGATTCAACAATCACTTGAAAGAAACAGTAAGAGAAAACTATAATCATGTCATTTTATTTCTGCTTGTGTTTTCTCTTTACTAGGTGGCTTATTGTACCTGCATGAATGGAACAACATGCAGTATGCTTCCTCTGCCGCGTTTCTTTTAGCTGTTTACTCTAATTATCTATCAGCTGCAAAAGCACAGCTCAACTGTCCTGAGGGTCAAATTCAGCCTCAGGAACTTCTCAATTTTGTCAAGTCACAGGTATCTTTTGGAATCTGTTACTCCATCCCTAGCTGAACATTTTAACAGTTTACCGTGAGGTGGATAACCGAAACTGTGAATTTTGGTTTACACAGGCTGATTATATCCTTGGTAAAAACCCGGAGGATATGAGCTACTTGGTTGGATATGGACCAAAATATCCTATTCATGTTCACCACAGAGGCGCTTCCATTGCTTCCGTCTTTTCTCTTCACTCTGAGGTTGGTTGCGCACAAGGATTCGACGCGTGGTACAACCGTGTTCAGCCAAATCCTAATGTGATCTATGGAGGCCTTGTAGGGGGTCCAGATAGAAATGACGACTACTCTGATGACAGATCCAATTATGAACAAACTGAGCCTACGATTTCAGGTTCTGCTCCTCTTGTAGGGATTTTCACTAAACTGCAAAGTTCATATGGACTACAAAGTTCATATGGTAATGTCGGTGAGTAATGAATGAATATCAGCATTATACAATAATCTTATATTTCTGTCGGCTTTTTTCTATATGAAGCCTCACTCACTCTTCTCTTGCTTGAAACAGGTTCCTACCATAATGAATCACCATTGCCCCAGAAAAAAAATCCAAGTGAGTAAGAATTAAGGAAAAAGTATCTATATTCTGATTTGATTTTGGAAGTTTCTAATTATATAACTTTGCTCTACTAATCTGATATCCATTGTTTGACAGGTACAACATACCTTTCCAAAGAACTAAAACCTAAAACACCACAAGGTGAGATCCAATAGAGTAAATAGTGGTTATGGTCCCTAGATTTTGGTTAAAATTTGTGGAGTATAGCAATAGCGTCTGATACATTTGAGAACCAAAATAACTATTTACTTGATCCAAAGAATATAATATAGAGGTAATGTTGCAGGTGCACCAGTTGAATTCCTGCACTCAATTTCCAGCTCATGGACTGTTGGTACAACAACTTATTACAGACACAAGGTGATAATCAAGAACACTTCTGTAAAGCCGGTCTCCGATCTTAAGTTGGTGATTGAGAATCTCTCGGGCTCTGTGTGGGGTCTGTCTCCAACTGGAGAGAAGAACACCTATGAACTTCCCCAGTGGCTCAAGGTCTTGAATCCCGGATCTGAGTGTATATTTGTTTATGTTCAAGGTGGACCCCAAGCAAAAATCTCGATTCAAAGCTTCCACTAACAATTTTAGTAATTTGACACGAGTAAAAAGCGTTTTTTTTGCACGTGAGTAATATAAGAGTTAAACTTCTGTTTTCTGTCACTCAATGATTGTAAATTTGTAATACCAACTTGTCAATCAAAAGCATATTCCTTATACATGTAATATCATTTTCGATTCTTCGCTAACTAACCCCTCCCCCCATCTCACCAACCAAAAAATAACTATAAGCAACAAAATATTTGAAAAGTTCATTTATCAAAACGCATAGATCAAACATTTTTATTACATTCATAATTATATGACCTGCACTTATGAGCACATTACAGATACATAAAAGGTTTCTAGTCTACAAGACAAAATCTGGAAAAATAGCCTAAAAAGGAAAACAAAACACTCTAAGTGGACACTACATTGTTTTAGTTGGGGTGAGACTTGGTACTTAGTGTTGTTCCTTGGGAATGTTGAGATCGTTAAATATGGGACTGTCAACTCCAACTCCCATAGCATTCAGACCATTGTCAACATATAGAACAGTACCCGTGATAGCTGATGCTAAAGGTGATGATAAGAAAGCAGCTGCATTGCCTACCTCCTCTGTTACACGTGAAAATTTTGACTTGGTTATGCATATAATCGAAGATTTGAGGACGAACAGGATGTTTTACAAAGAACAATCCTGATGGAAATATTATTACCTGCTGATAGCTCTTTCTGTAGAGGTGCATTAGCTATTGAATAATCAATCATCATATCAATGAATCCAATTGCTTTTGCAGCGCGACTTCTTAGTGGACCTGGAGGCAAGAAACGACATGTTAACCACAGGAACTAAATTCACCAATATGTTAATAAAAACAATTAACATCAACCAAGATGAGACATGAAGGAGTGAGGAGCATTAAAAATAGAAGCCACGAAGTACCAGCAGATATAGTGTTGACTCTAATTTTGCGCTTTCTACCGGCTTCAAAAGCAAGCACCTGAAAAAGCATGAATTATGCCGAAATTTCAACACCTAAAGACGGAAAAGCCAACTAAAAATGAATGTGTTAAACGGTAAGTTTGGAAAAAGGTTGAAGCTTACTCGTGTATCACTTTCTAGTGCAGCTTTTGCAGAACTCATACCACCCCCATATCTGTATTATCATTTAGTCCATGAATACAGCCGATCTAAATTTTATGATATATAGAATTAATAAGGACTTTGTAAGGCATAATCAACATACCCAGGAATGATCCTCTCTGAAGCAATGTATGTGAGAGAGATTGAAGATCCACCTATAAACAAATTGGAAAGGTAAGCAAGTTAAAACGATAAACCAGATAAATAAGTAATTAATTAGAAATTGAACTGGGACTAAACCAACCCCAAAAGCTAGCTCAAGAGGTGAGTATTACTCGACCCTTACAAAAAATACTTAGGTCATATCTCTAGACAACATAGAATCTCAACACACACACCCTCACACTCGCGATTAGACATGTAGAGCGTGAAGTTTGTAACTAGCCCAATATCAAATATGGAATAGGCTATGATACCTTATTACAATATCGACTATGCCTAATTCAATCTCAAAAGCTAACTCAAGCGGTGAAGATTATCAAAACCTCATAGAATGGAAGCATTATTAGATTAGATAAGGTACATGCCTGGGTTTATGATTGGAAGAAAATGCTTGAGTAAAGAAACATAGGAGTAACTAGATGCAGATAATGCAGCAAGATATCCTTTCCGAGATGTCTCCAACAGTGGTTTGGTCACCTATAGCAAAGTTACCTGCTTAATAAAGCTGAAATCTGAAGTCATAAAGAAACTCCAACGCTTATTATTCTATTAACCATACCTCTGGCCCATTGGCAAGTGAGTGCACGAGAATGTCTATGCTGCCAAAGTCTTCCTTAACCGATTCAGCAACTTCCTGAAAAGTAAGTGATGAACGTAAGATATAACTAGCCTAGTCTTTATGCAGTAAGTTAGGAGCCAGAAAAGCTCCACGCCTAGTTCATATTCATAACCAACTCTAGGCTTCATACTTCATTAGAGTTCCTGAATTCTTCAAGACCAATAAAGAAAATAGCGTGTGCTTAATTGCCAAAATGAAAATCACTTATTACTTAAGAATAATGAATTATCTCTCTTACTTGAGAGCGGAAAAATATCATAGATTTGGGCTTGGTCGAGCAGAAAGGTAGAGAAAAAGAAGGGGGAAACTCCTGCTCAGAGACACTAGGAGACACAGACAATGAAATCGTTTGAAGTAATATGAATAGTTGAAGGGGTTGTGTAAAATACTTACTCAAGAGTCAAGGTGTAAAAGGTCGTTAAATTTGTTTACATTTTAGCCTCTTATATTGACATATATTTTAGTCTTCAAATACAAATGCAATATATAAGAGAGTGGCGCATTAACATTTACAAGAAAGGGAAAGAAGAAAGAACAATTAAAAATATGTGGAGTGAATTAGAATACCAAGACAGTGTCCAAAAGAGCATTTGAATCTTGTATAATTAAGTCTATATACCTGAACTGTCCACTTGCTGGATCCAGCATAGCGCTTGTTTGATTTTATCTATACAATTGTCACAAAAAACAATCAGTACATGGATAAAAATCATGAAATGCGTGTACTTCATATATCTTTATTAAAAAGATGAAACTCGGTATCAATTGTTTACATCTTCTGGTACATCCTCAAGGTTGTCAAAAACAGCATCCAAGGGATAAACTTTGGTAATTTCCATCAAGGAACCATCAGGCAATCTGGAAAACAGCATTTCTTATTAGCAAGATTATATATCACATGGTTTAACAAATAAAATCAATAGCAGTATTTAATGTCATACGCGCGTGATTCGTCAAATTTCCCACGTCGTAAGCTGGACTCAAAAATATTCAGAGCCTACAGCAATGGTTCACAGTTAATTAATGTATCACTACAAAAGGACTAGAATACATACATAACATGAAGGGTTCAGAAAGGCCGCACGCAGATAACCAAGTGAATTGGTATTGACTGGTAAGTGCCCATTTTTCATCTGAAATAAAATAGTAACTTACAGGAACCCATGTGCCGAGAAGAATTTCAGCTCCTGCTGCAGCAAGAGATTTTGCAATTGCCCATCCGTACCCATTGTCATCGGCCACACCAGCAATAAAAGCTCTTTTACCTTAAAAAAAGCGCTATTCTCAGTAAATTGATAGTCATAGTTCCCAATTGTCAAAGACAGTAAAGTCCAAGACAAAACGGACAAATATATTTTGACAATATACAATGATTCCTAAACAGTAGTGGAAAGTGAAAAATAACCTTTCAAATTAATTGGTAATCCTGAAACTGGGCTTGTTTCACTAGACTCAGACACTGCCTTTGTCGCAAATTTGACAGACTTTACAGATGATGAAGTAAAGCTCCGTTGGAAGGGCTGCACTGACGCAACATGACACGCATTTGCAAGTTTATTCCATGATCCCACCTTAGACTTGCCACCGAAAATCACAGTACTCACATCAGCAAACTTTTGTGATGAAGAAATGCATGATCTTGACATTGCAATTTGCAAGCTAGAAATTGATGTTGTTGCCATCTGGGATAAGCGCACTATGGCCGAATAAACCCTAAACCTACTCAAGGAAATTGTAGTCAATAGTTATATCTCATGAAGCAGTGCAGAAAATAGCTAAATTGATTTCTCATTCTTTAAAACCAACACATACTAATGAACACACAAGCCATTAACAAAAGCTGTTAATGGTGAAGCATTCACCATGTGAATCCATGGAGAAGAAACAATGCAACAGAAAACTAACAGCAATAACCGAATCAGTTAGAGGAATATTGAACTCTTTCATTAACTGGAAATAGATTACATGTATGGTTTATATACAAAGATAAGCTAATCTTCTATTGTGTGGTACTCATGCTTAGTAATAAGCTGAGGTGGCATTAATGCTATAACTATACTAATCTACTGAATACAATATGTACAATGGTATGTATAATACAGAAACTATACTAACAGCCCCCCTCAAGTTGGACTGTGGATGTTACAAAGTCCTAACTTGACCAAAGTCTTTTGAAGAGCAGGAGAATGAAGTGGTTTAGTCAGCATATCAGCCAGCTGGTCATGAGTAGAAATAGGTAGCAAGTGAATGAATTTGGATTGAATCCTCTCACGAACAACATGACAATCAAACTCGATATGTTTACTTCGCTCATGAAAGGTAGGATTATGGGCTAAGTAGATTGCTGACTTGCTGTCACAAAAAATAAAAGCTGGTTGCTTAAACTCAACAAGGAGATCTCGAAACAAGTACTGCAGCCACTGAATTTCACATGTAACAGAGGCCAATGCTCTATATTCAGCTTTAGTTGATGACCTAGATGCAGTATGTTGCTTTTTCGATTTCCAACACAATAAGGAGGAACCTATCATTACACAATATTCTGTGACTGGTTTCCTTGTATCAGGACAACGGGCCCAGTCAGAATCAGAGAAACCTTGTAGTTTCAACTCACTGGAAACAAAAAACAGGATTCCTGTGGCAGGTACAGATTTCAGATATCGTAAAACACGAATAGCAGCTTGAAAATGAGGAAAGCGAGGCTGAGATATAAACTGACTCAGATGCTGGACAGCATAAGAGATATCTGGCCTAGAATTGGTCAGATATATGAGTCTACCAATTAATCTCCTATAGGATGAAGGATCTTCTAATGGAACACCTTCTGTGATAGAAAGTTGGAGGTTTGGATCAAATGGCACTGAAGAGGGCTTAGCTGCAAGAACTCCAGCATCTTGTAGCAATTCAAGAGTATATTTCCTCTGGTTTAGAAAAATACCTTCTACTGATCTAGCAATTTCTAAACCTAAGAAATACCTTAGTTTTCCAAGATCCTTGATTTTGAATTGTGATTCAAAAGATGTTTGACCTGTGTAATCTCAGTCAATGAATTTCCTGCCAATACAACATCATCAACATATACAATAGGACATTAAAATCAGAATTCTCATGTTTAACATAAAGAGAATAGTCAGCCTAAGATTGTTGATACCCAAGAGAGATCAGAAAAGCAGATAATTTAGAATACCACTGCCTGCTAGCCTGTTTCAATCCATATAGTGATTTTTGCAATCTGCAAACTTTGTTAGAATCAAAACCAGACAAACCGGGGAGCAATGTCATGTATACCTCTTCAGACAAATCACCATGTAAAAACACATTGTTTACATCTAATTGCTCTAAATGCCAACCTTTTATGGCTGCAAGTGAGAGAAGAACTCTAACAGTGGTGAGTTTGGCTACAGGAGAAAAGACATCGAAATAATCAATTCCCTCCATTTGAGTGTAGCCTTTTAGCTACCAATCTGGCTTTGTAACATTCAATAGATCCATTTGCTTTGTACTTGACCTTATATACCCAATGGCGACCAATTGGAACTTTTCCAGAGGGTAAATCCACCACAACCCATGTTTGATTCTCTGCAAGAGCTTTAAGCTCCACATCCATAGCATTTATCCAACAGTCATGTTTAATGGCTTGTTTGTAAGTGGTTGGTTCAGATATGGATGATATGTTGCAGCAGTATTTCTTGTAGGAGGGAGAACATTTGTGATAAAATATGACAGAAGAGAGGGGATAGGTAGTTTGTGTTTGTATGAAAGGAAAGTGGGAAGTGTTCTGGTTATTGTTAGCATGATAACAATGATAATCTGCAAGATAGGTTGGAGGATTGGAAATACGACTAGATTGTCTAAAAGGTAAATTGGAAGGTCTTATATGGTTATCCTGGTTTTCTTGAAAATGATTAGAAGGACTGTGGTTAATAGGATTGTGGGAGGATAGGGAATCATAAGATTCAATGGATAAAGGAGAACCAGGATTATCAGTTGGGTTGGGACCAGCTGCAGGTGGATCTGTCACAGGAAGTATAGGGGCAGAATGGTTATTGGGTTGTCTAAAAGGAATAGGCTCTGCGTTAGTACCTGAATGGTCACTATCAGAGCTGGGAGTAGCAGACTGCTGCTGCAGGCTAGGGGAAGAGTTGTTGTTATCAAGGAAACCTGATACATCAGTAGAAGAAGGATACTGATGTGACAATTCAGGGTCAGCATAGGTGTGTTCAGTAGGCAGGGTAGATGAGGACTGCATTGTTTTAGGATATTCCTGAGCAGGGTCAAAGGGAAAAACATTTTCATAAAATATGACATGTCTAGACACAAAAATATTATGGCTCTGAAGATCATACAAAATGTAGCCTTTAGTTCCATCCTTGAAGCTTAAAAAGACAGTTTTTCTTGACCTTTGATCAAACTTAGTTTTGTTTGTCTGATTAGAGATAGCATAGCTCAAGCACCCAAAAACTTTTAAATGAATTAAGGAGGGAGGTTGTTTGTATAAAAGTTCATATGGGCATTTAAAATTTAGCAGAGGAATAGTGAGTATTTATGATGTGGATGGCATGTTGTATGCAAAAATTCCACATGTTAAGAGGGAGCTTAGAATGAAAGTAGAGAGATCTAGCCACATTTAAAATGTGCAGATATTTTCTCTCTACCACCCCATTTTGTTGGGGTGTGTATGCACAAGATTTTTGGTGGATAACCCCTTTTGACAGAAAAATATCTGATAAAGAAAGAAACTCAGTCCCATTGTCTGATCTAAAACACTTAAGATTAGTGTGAAACTGATTTTCAATGTAAGCCATGAACTGAATAATACTCTACTTGGCTTGACCTTTGGTTTTTAGAAAAATAACTCATGTGTATCTACTAAAGTCATCTACAAGGGTCAAAAAATATTTATGTCCTAGCATTGAGACACTAGAAAAAAGGCCCCACACATCAGCATGTAAGATTTCAAATGGTATTTTAGATTTTGTATTGCTATTTGGAAAAGATGACTTCTTTTGTTTACTAAAATGACAAGAGTCACAAGGATGCTTGTTATTACAATTGGATGGAATAAAAGGAAAAAATTTGGACATGTATTGCAGACCTACAGTAGAAATGTGCCTTAATCTTAAGTGCCATAATAAAGAGTTATCTTGTATAGAAGAATTACAAACATGATCAAGGTGTGATGAATCAAGCACATATAGACCTCTTTGAAGCTTAGCTGAACCAATCATTTCCTTAGAATGATTCTGCAGGATTTGGCACGAGTTATTAGTGAAATGAACAAAACAGGAATTATTTTGCACCAGTTTTGCTATAGAGAGTAAATTGACATTGAAACTAGGAATGTATAAGACATTGTGGAGAACTAAAGTTGCAGAAAGAGCTATGCTGACAGAAATATTTGTGGTGACTTATGAATCATTTGGTAAGCTAACATGGATAGGAACTATTGTTCTATGTGAAGTGAAATTGGACATGTCAAAAGTTATATGGTCAGTGGCGCCTGTGTCTAGAATCCATAGGTGATTGTTCTTACCAGTTTCAGGATGAGAGTGAGAATTGAGGACAAATGGTGATGTAGGGATGGAATTGGCTTTAGGATTGGTCTTTGACTATTGAATTAATTCCAAAATGCTTTGACATTGCTCTTGAGTGAAGCCAAGCATGCATTGAGATGAGCTTTATTCTGGAAATATTTGACCTATTTCAACAGAAGCAATAGACTGTGAATTAGAGTTAGTGGATTTTCCTTTACCTTGAAATCCTGGTGGGTAACCATGTTTGAGAAAACAAGTCTCAATTGTGTGGTTGTTTCTTCCACAGTGTGTACAGACTTTATTTGTGCCCTTAGCTCCTCCATAGTTGTTACCCCTGCCTCTGAAATGGTTGTTTCCAGGTCTGCCAGAATTGTTACCAGATGCAGCATTCAGATGAAGTGTTGTTGATTCTTCAGAAGAGGTGGAATTCGAAATAGCATTTTGAGATGTGTTGAGTTCTCTTTCCTGTTGGATAACCAGAGCAAATGTTTTGTCAATGTCAGGCAAAGGACTCATCATCATGATTTGAGTCTTGGATTGATTGAATTTTTCATTCAATCCTTTAAGGAAACGGATTGCATAATCTTGCTCGCGATATTTGCGAACAGAGGAAAGAGCTCCACAAGAGCAGGGTATGGCGCAAGAACACGCAGCATTAGGTCTGTAAGCTTCTAGCTCATCCCACATCACCTTCATCTAAGTAAAGTAATTTGAAACATTCAAGCTACCCTGACGAAATCTATACAAGTCTTCCTGAATATCAGATATGCGAAAAATGTCACCTTGCGAAAATCGGATCTGCAGGTTTCTCCATACACCAACAGCGCTTTCAATCCACAGCACGGACTTCGCAATCGATTCTGATATGGAACGATAAATCCATGCTAAAACCATGGTGTTGCATCGCATCTAAGGAGCATAAAACACATCAGATACTGGAGGTTTTGGAAGCGTGCCATCAATGAATCGTTCTTTATTCTTTGAGATCAACGCAATGTGCATTGACCTAGCCCAAGTATGATAACTCTTATCATCAAGAAGTGGAGTAACAAGGATCAAGGATGGATTTTCGTTAGGGTGAAGATAGTATGGATTGGAGGAATTCGTAGAAAAGTCTAAGAAATTCTAGTACGCCATCAAAGGATAAACAGAACAAACTTAATTGCAAAAGAAAGGGAAAGAAGAATGAAAACGATGATGATCCTCATTGAAGAACAAGAATCACAAATCGCAAGAAAGAGTCGCAAGCGGAAGAAAACGAAGCAAATCAAAAGATAACAGATTTGCAATCAAGATGAACAAAGGAGAAGATATTACCAGAAGGGAAACGATGGCTACCAGAGCTTTTGAAGCTCTGATACCATGTTAATGGTGAAGCATTCACCATGTGAATCCATGGAGAAGAAACAATGCAACAGAAAACTAACAGCAATAACCGAATCAATTAGAGAAATATTGAACTCTTTCATTAACTGGAAACAGATTACATGTATGGTTTATATATAAAGAGGATAAGTTAATCTTCTATTGTGTGGTACTCATGCTTAGTAATAAGCTGAGGTGGCATTAATGCTATAACTATACTAATCTACTGAATACAATATGTACAATGATATGTATAATACAGGAAGTATACTAACAGAAGCAGTCCCAAAACAAACAAACAAACAAAACAGAAATCTAAACCTTTTACATACAATCACAAAAACCAGCGAGAACGACAGTTAAAATCACTATACATCAAATAATTTCCTAGATCCGCAGTTTTGATATGCTGAAACAAAATCAATACAACAATAAATCTCGGTACTTGTACACAATGCAGCAAAATGCATCTCAAATCCAGAAGAAAAAAATCAAAACTTTAGCCCATACTATGTCATTCAAAGACAATTAAAAAAGACCCAATTGAAAACAAGCAGTGGATAACACATTGATGCAAAAAGTAAAAGGTGGGGCGTTACCGATTGGGTAGCCAGAGCGGAAATGTGGGAGAAATATGAGGAGTTAGAAACAGTGTTGTTGTTGTTGTTGTTGTTGGAATGAATGAAGATAGTGTTATGGTATTGTTATAGCCGCTGGGTGTTAAGAAAGAAGGAAACTTTGGAAGTGTCGAAGAAATGGTTGTTTAAGTCTAGTTAGCGAGGTTTTCCTTTGTGTATGTAACATGTTCACTCGCGCGTGGAGCAAAGACAGATAGATTACTAGGTGTTGTTTTCAGACAGTCACCTTATCTATTTTACACATTTACTTAGTTACAATTTAAAAATGATAGGTATATAGGGTAATTTTCAATTTTTTAATCAAATCAAAGTTTATTCATTCTAGAAAGTTTTTAAAAAAATATGTGAGACAGACAAAATAGATTAAAAAAATTTCATCATTTAGAGAACCTACAAATAAAGTTTATATCTTTAATACTCAAATTTTTTTATCCTTTAGAATGAGTGGATTAAAGATTATTTTTTAAGTGATTTGAGAAGGGTCTATTTAACTGTTTTAAATTATATTTTATTGAAAAATAAATGTGAGTTATGTAAGTTTTGTTGTTGTGTCCTAAAATTTGTCCTCTCATTGTTTTAAGATTTTTCTCACATGTGTGGTTACAAACACCTATTTAAAGGGGAAAAAATGGGGAAAAAAATTGAAGATGTTAATGTGCCTTTCGACAAGACAAAAGTTTGCTTTGAATCCACATCTTTCTATTGGATTTCTGGCCTCTTTCGATGCAAGTTTGGCTTGCATCCTTCGATTGTGCATTGGTCTATGACACGCTGGCTTTGATTCATAAGGTAGAAGTTTCCTGCATGCAACCTTCGATTGCATCATTGGCCTCACATGGTTCACAATGTAATGGTGGTCTGCATACCTGTTTCGATTGGACATTTGATGCTTACATACATGTGTTGATTAGACAAATAATTTCCTTCATGCTTGCTTTGATTCACAAGTTGATGTCTGGCTGCACGCAGTCTTCGATTGAGCCATAGATTCCTTCTTGCACGCAAGAGGCTCCCACTAAGCCAACATGCACAAGGCAAAGAGTCTCATGTAACCTCCTTTGATTCAAAGACGAAAAGCCTCTTGCACGTAAGCTTCGATTACACCATTGGCCTCTTACATGTATGCCTTAAGTCACAAAGCAATGACCCCCTGCATGCAGGCTTCGACAAGGCATTGACTTTTCATGCAAACCTTCGTTTGAGCAATGGTCTCTTGTATGCTTTCTTGGAGTCACAAAGTAGTGACCTCTTACATGCAGGTTTCGACAGGGCATCGGCTATGTTTACACTAGCTTCGACTGGACATTATTTCTCTTTGAAATAGTTTGCTTCAATTTCACCCTTGAAAACCCTCAACATACGTGTTTGGTGCCCCATTTAAAGGACATGTATTGGTGGATTTGAAGGGCATACATAGTGTTGTACCCCAATGTTGTACCCCAAAATTTGCCCTCCCATATTTCTCAAAATATTCCAAGAAAAATTCACAAGTCCAACTCGGCGCGTCATATTCAGGTATTCTTTTGCCAAGATATCTCTGATAACATATTCTCAAATTCAGGTTCGGCTCAAGAGATAATTCTTTAAAGAAGGTATCCGAATGTGCGAGTTTTCTTGAAGAAATATGGTGAAAAAGTGTGTTGAAAGTGCAGTTTTTACGCGCTAAAAAATTCATAACTTGAAGATCGTGACTCGTTTTGAACCCGTTCCGG